TGGTGGCATGAAGTCGCGTTTGTGCCCTTAACGCATTCAAGCAATATCAAATGGGAATGTGTGTACAGTAGGATGATTGAGTGGTAGAGTGATCCAGCGTGCCACATAAGATTTTATCGTTTCTGAGTTTCTGACTTTTAATTACTTATTCTTATTACTCCGTTATGTCGCTCTTGGCCACTTATTGTTGAAACAGATGGTAAAATGTGAAAAGCTGCGTGAGGCTAATGTTAATCATTTCTAACCCTTTTCAACCGATCAACGTCCCCTCTTCCCAAGCCTTTTATATTGTTAGACCATATTTTGAGCCTATGAACTTGCAAGAGAGAATTAGCAAGTTGATTACCCTAGAGCTGAGTGGGGTTCCTATACGAAAGAGTCTGATTGGATAATGTCCTGTTTTGGCATGGTTAGATGGTTTTCTGACGGTTTCCGCGGAGGCTTTAGTCCGGCCAGCATGCATCCTCTAAGCTCGAAGTAGTAAAAAGCGGATGAGCTGCATACAATAAATGCTGTAATTGGTCAGAGCAAAGAACAATGAAATAATCCAAGCTGGACAGCGCGCAGGGGCGATCGTAGAGATGGCAATACAATCCATTCATGCATGTGGAGTCTCGCGATACAGTCTCAGGCCATCGATCCCGCCTCAGTATATCGTGTTCTTATTAGAACTAACTACTAATAGATTTCTAGCAATTGGCGACAGAAAATTGACTTAGCACATCGACGTGGTGAACCTTCATCTCATCGCTACGTGAGTTTCGCGCAGGCGGGTCGGACCCCAGACAATCGTCTTTGACTTTTGCTCCGTCTAACAAGCTGTTTAGTTTTAGATTCACGCGATACATAGGCAAAAGTTTTCTATGTCTCAGATAACTTGCAAATCTCGACCGGAACAGGCCTGTCAAAACTATGGAGACCAAATGGCAGTTCCCGGTGACCGGGCTCTATCTTCCTGGCCTCATCAGGATCGATAAGCCTCAGGTCATAACTTTGCAACACCATGGCGACCGAGGCGAAGATGACCTGCTTAGCCAACGTCTCGCCCGGACAGCGGAATGCTCCTCCTCTAAAAGGGAAGAAATGCCCCCGCAAGCCAGCAACGGAGGATCTGGAGCGCGCATCTTCCGCCCCCATATGCGTTGTTGGCCTTTGTGGAGATTCTCGTGCGGGTTGAACGCGCTTCTTTTTCGCGGGGCCGCTGATACTGGAGCTGCCTGGATAATCCAGAAACCTCTCAGCCTAGAAACCTTCCAGAGGATGCTGAGGCTTGCCACTGGGCAGGTCCTGACCCGTGTTCCAGCATGACTCGTCTAGTCCCGCAAGCCAGCCGGTGAACATGACGGGTACACCCGCCTTGATCTTCCAGCCTCCAGCGAGACACAACTGGTCGTCAAGGGACGTGCGACCAACAGTACTTGCAACACGTAGCCGAAGTGTTTCGTAGTAGATAGAGTTGAGGAGGGGATCCTTCATCAGCACTTTGATATCTGGTTGCTCTCCAACCTCTGTGGATTGAAAGGCAAAGCTGATCTGGTGGCGAACCCGACGGAGCAGACTTGCATCAAGTAGGATGTGCACGATCATCCACAAAGCTGCGGGAACGGTGTTTGCCATAGCACTGTATTTGGTAAGCAACGATCTCTCGGTCGCTTCTCGCTTATGCATCCCTCATGGCGGAAGAGTAGAGCAGAGATTGAGCGAGGGAGGGAGTGGACATGGACGTACACGAAAAAGTATCCCAGCATCACCACAGCTACTCCGTTGTTGCTGAGCCCGAGAGCCTCGTGGCGCTGAATCATCTTGCGGACGTATTGGGTGCCCCAAATAGGCTCGTACTCGACATCGCAAAACTCGTCATTATCCCAGTTGTAATTTTCGCTACACCAGGTGCGCCAACGATCGAAGCTTTTGTGCATCTCGTCACGCGCCTGGTAGCTTGACGGCACCAACCATCGCGGCAGACCTTTGGAGATGTTCGGGAATGCTTTGTAGAAGTTCCAAAAGTCCTGGCAGAAAGTTGGACAAATTCTGAGGAGATGCTCTCCATACAAGGCTTCTACATTAGCTCTGAGGATGAGATTTGATAGGAAGCTGAAGAGATCAGGAATACGGCCCCAATCGTGTGCGACCTCCGATGCTGCGGATAGCTCTGACGCCAAATTCTTCTTGAATCTCTCCATCACAAACACTAGATTTCTCCCTTGAAGATAATGAGCAAAGTCTTGTCTCTGGTGCTCCATGATGCGCCGGGAGACATCTGGATGATCCGTGTAGAATCCTACACTGGCCTCGTAGGCCGAAATGCGGTCATGGTTGAAGATGTGAATATCACGGCCGGATAAGCCGAAGAAAATGGTCAGAGCATCGAATAAACTGGGCGTCGGCACCAGACTACTACTCCGTCTGAACAGTCCTTCGATCTGTTTTCCAGGCATCGCCAAGTATATCTCCCGGCCGATGAGTGGGATATACGCTGGAGCTCCCTGCAATTCGTGACTGCGGCGCAGTTCAGTTAGTGATGCGGTGATGCAACGACCGTCAAAGCCGGCAAGCAACGGTGGATCCCGTAATACGAAGTTGGATAGGACTGCAGAAGGGGGTCTTCAACATACATGGGGCGTCTCAAGAAACTCTCCGGCTGCAGAGTGAGAGAGAGTAGATGGCCTAGCCCTTGAAGTCCCCACGAAGGCTGGGGAGGGGCTTTCGTCGAGCCATCGTTATGGGAATGCGATCTGGATTGAAGTCGAGTGTATATTGTACCTATTAAAAGAAGGAGAATAGGCAAAAGAAGAAAAGCCATATAGGTCACGGCGTGATCTAGGCTAGGAGGTACATGCTTTATTAGCGAACCAAGGTAGCTCTCCATAACCGTATTGCAATGGAAGTGGCGGCACCAAAGACAACCGCTCCGACACCTGACCGAGTCCCGCCTGGCAGGTAAAGTCCCAGCGTCTGGATAGGGCCGAGAGTCGCAATGAAGAATACTGCAGGATTGCGACCGAACGCTTTTCTGTCTGTGGGTACCAGGTGTTCAGATATGGTGACTCAAAGGCCTATTACCAATATCTCGGATGGATCGCGGTTGAACAAGAGGTCTGGGACTTTACAAAAGATTAGGAGACGCAGGCTTATTTAGCACGCGTTCAGATTATCACTAGTCGTTGGGTGCCAGGTCGAAAGAGGAAGAGGGTACTAGTCAAGAATCGAGATGAAAGTTGAGGAAAAACAGCGGCCGCCATACCAGCAGCCACGAGCGGCCATTTCGGCGATATTCATTGGCCTAACAATTGTATTTTAGAATCCATAATCGGTCATGTTGCTGTGGGTGCCGCCGCCGCTGCCCAGCGTTCTGAGTCTTGGCAGAACGGGGAGAAGCACGGGAGAACCGGCCAATACTGGCTGGTAAGGCAGACTTCACATATCTTGGCTATGCGAACTATCCGATTATTCAGCTAGCTGTCACTGTGGAATACTATACTGCACAATACAGTATCACTCGCATATTGTTTGTAGTTTCCAGTAATCTACTCCACCTCACCTCTGCATCATCTGCTACAACGAAGAACGAGGTCTCCTCGAAGGTACCAGGATCAAACCCAGCGATATCACAAGTTACCATCCCTGATATCCTCTTAGCCCTATACCTACTTACCCATCTACTTACCGCTTCAGGTCAGTCGCATCTGTTTCCGTCCGCTATGATCGAACTGTTGTTGGAGTCGCCTTTGCCTTGTTTCCTCGCTTCAAGCACAGCGTACGCGCTCATCACGTCCCATCAGTTACAGTGCCAATTAGTACCTATCTTCGTCGCCTCGTGGACCTTTGCATTATTCGCGCATCTCGTGGTCTGGCAGAGCTGGATCTTCCCACGCTACGTGTCAGAGCTTCGCCATATTCCTACGGTCCCTGGATTCCCTCTCTGGGGCCAGTTTTTCGACATCATCACACAGGAATGCGGGGCTCCACAACAACTCTGGCATCATCGGTATGGCCCTGTCGTTCGTTATTTCTTCCCCTTTGGGTCGGAGAGGCTGTCGATTGCTGAAAGGGGCGCGTGGCGTTCGACTGCCCTAAAACTTACGTCGGAAACTGCGCTAAACCATCACAAGCGCACTCTTGGATAAGCAGAACCCTCTGGCGAGGCTTGTTACCCGGTCGAAGTAGCGAGCACGACTACCGATCCAGCGCGTTAGCTTTGGCTTTTTCAGTACAATCCATCAAAACTTTAGTCCCTATAATTTGGACAATATCATTATGTCTCGGTGAATGTAGGGAGGAAACGAACGCAAGTCGACCCAGCGCCGCAACAGGCAGTCGTTTTATTGGTTGAGGCGAGCTACCCTGGAAGCCGGGCTTGAATTTGAGGACTATTGGATTAAAAACTCTACGATTAAAGCCTGCGACGCTGATGATGGTCATGGGGTGTAAGTAGCCTTCTACAGAAAGCTCCTGGAATAATAATATGCTGAATTGGAAATGAATCGCCCATATGTGCGGCATGGATAGCCAGAAACCCACTGAAAAATATAATGGCGGTTCTATGGCACAATCAAATTCTACTTGCGGTTGAGGACGTGGTCAACAATTTGCAAGGCAAATATACTAGCAATAACGGAAAGGACTCATGCTAAGATGAATAACATGAGTTTGGAAGACCTAATGTACGCTTGTATTCCATGCTGAGAGATTCTACTGTAGACTTAGTACTTAGCTTTGAGTCAGCTGACATGATAGTTTCAGTATGCGATTTGAATTGATTGAATTGATTGGATTGATTGATATGTCTGTTTTTTGATCAGATCTGGACAGCAGCGCTGAGATGATTCTGATCTAATTACCATGTTGCGGCTAGCAGCATCTCAAGCTGATATAAGTGGTTGGAAAAGGTGGGGTAAACCATAGCATATGACTTGGTGTCTTCCGTAATGTCAATTATGTAAGCTTTCCCCACAAAATAAAATCAGGCAGCCCCTTGGCGGATAAGTGATCTTGAATCCTTCATACTGCCCATCTTCAAAGTTCAGCCAAGATAAATATGGGGTCTCCTGCACCTCATCACCGACACCAGTCATCACTAGAGGGAACCATTGACTTTTCTCCACGACCAAGTCCTTTCTTCAGCCCAGATGAGCTTGATAAAGCCGCTGGTATTCTCCGACGCCTTGTCGAGCACTTCGAGCCCTTGTCAACTGAAAAGCCATATAACCGACCGAGGCTGGTTCGTCTAACTTACGAGCATGCTCGATCGGATCAATCTAAGTTCAACTTCCTGCACGCATTCCTTGGGACAGTGAATATCACGATAGATGAAGTTTTCGATCTCAATGATGAAACGAAGAAAAATAAGATTCTTTCAGCCTTGAATACCTTTGCGGATTTCCTAGTCGACAACTTCTTCCTTCCACGTAAGCCACCTTTTTCGCTAGCATTCGGCTTAAACACTCATCAAATTCTAGTTAAGGCTGCTGGAAACAAAACGCCTCAGCCATCACCAGCAGCAAACTCCCGAATCACGAGCACGCGTCCTGTTGTTGGGTCTGTGGAACGAGTGGCGTCACTTAGGCGTGATTGCTTAGTTCGTGACCGATATCGCCGCATAATATCTCGCGATTTTGATATGAAAGAAGCTGAGCGCCGTATTGAAGAGAGCGGATATGACCATGCTTCAGATGATCAAGGACAATTACTGAAAGAACAAGAGCCCGGATCATTTGCGGAATTGGAAGTCGCGCATATACTCCCTCACTCATTGATGACTTCGACGGGAAACCCTGAGTTGGTAGGTGAATTTCCGATTCTGCAGCGCAAGCTAAAATTAGTCCAAGAATGAATCCAAGCGAACGGCATTGGCAATACTTGATATGTTTGATCATGATATCGTGCGTCTTATCGAAGGCCCAGATATCGATCGTCCTCGGAATGCTCTCACTTTGAGAATTGATCTACACCGGCAGTTTGGCAACTTCAAAGTTTTCTTCGAGCCTACGAATCAGCCTAATAGCTATCGGATCGATTCGACTCTCCGCCACCCATTCAGGAACCGAAGTTTCCCAGTCAGTCGTACTCTCTTTCTCACGCCCGAGCGAACCATCGATCCCCCGTCTACTCGGCTTCTTGCTGTTCATAATTCTATTTGCCAGATTTTACATTTAAGTGCAGCTGGAAATTACATTGACAACATTCTTCGCGACCTAGACGATGGAACTGTAAAATCCGATGGCTCTACTAATCTAGCCAGTCTGCTTTGTCTGAAATTAGATTGTTGGTCGGAAAGCGCTGTGGTTGAATAATCGAAGATCTCTAATAATAAAAATTTGGAAATGAAGACTATAAACAAATGTATAGAACGCACTTCGAAACCGTATTATATGCCTATGCTGTATGAGGCAGTTCTGTTTTGTGCGAAGTTGGGAAAATTTGTTAGTTTATCATTTTCACAGACTGCAGAAGTGGGTAAGTGCCATGACGACGGCGCGATTCATCATTAATCCGGGACTTTTCTGAGCTTGACCGCTCCGTTTCTTTTGATCGCAAGCATTAATCCAATGAATTAAGTCTATTTACAATGATTGTAAGTGCATATTTATATAAACGTATCTATAAATAATCTGATCTTTGGTAAAAGTGTAAAAGATTCCTGCAATTGAAAGCTATTCGTAAGGTGATGAGCAAGGGGTTATAAGAGTTTTATGACTTCCAAGTAACCTACAGGTCGTTTTAAAAGCCTAGTATTTATAAGCTACCTTTCTAAGACTTATATTAATATGCTTAAGAAATATAATATAGCAGTCATTGTCCCGCCTTTGTAATAGTTTTGAGATGCATCAAATAACGGCTGGATATGTACCTCGTGTAACCCGATTGCGAGCACTGCTCTTGCGTCTTGAATTGCAGATTTCAAATCTGTTCCTTTGGCAGTAGGGTCCATAACAACGGTTTGGCCAGCAACGTGCTCCGCCATAAAGCTTTTGCAGCTGTCGAATAAAAGCTCTGCATCACCAGCAGTAACAAGTAGCCTGTTAACGACGCCTGACTGTCCAACTGCCTTTGACCATAGGGACTTAGCGTCATGAGCTTCCATCGGGTTAGCCCATAAATGATTTTTGTCCGGATTGAAGAGGTTGGCGTAGTGCTGAAGCAATTTGGCATGGAGGAAGTCATAGCGTTTGTTGACCCTGGCCTCATACCTATCCTCGCTCATGCGTAACCACGGGGATATAAGTATGGCAGCGCGAAAGCTTGTCCCTTGCAAGTCTATTGGAGGCAGTCCGGGAGCCGGACTTTGTAGATGTAGAATCACACTGGCTATCAAATGCCCACCGGCGCTGTCACCTACAAGAACAATATCCGAAGGAGCGCAGCCCTTATCGATCAAATATCTCAGCCCTTCCACGGCTTGTACAAATTGACCGGGATACTGAGTTGCAGGCGTAAGAGAGTATTCTAAAATAGCAATTTTAGCAGCTTTGCAGGAACTGGCCATGCGGCTCACGAATGGTATCGCAACCCCGCTTCTCAAGGGAGACTGGTAGCCGCCACCATGTGCATAGAAGATAGTCGGACCACTCGGATTTGCATCTCGCAGAGTGATAATATGCAATGCTGGTGAGGGAATCTCGGTTCCTGTTGAAAGCGACACATGGACTCGCTGATGCTTTATACCCTTTGCTGCACAGTAGGCTTCAACTTGCAGCCCAGTCGACTCTCGCCGTGAAATAAAATAGCTTTGCTGACGGAAATTCAGTGTCGTAGTTACACTATTCAGAAGAGTCGATTGCAACTTCTGGCGCCAGTGTAGCGAGTACAGCGAATGCCATGGCCATGAACATCGAATGAGTAGTGAAAGTGTGGACGAGCCAACTGCAATATTGTTACATCCCATTAGTTTGGCAATAACAGCAACACCTTGAGAGAACTTACGAATCAGCGGAATCTGCCAAAGAAGTGAAAAATAGTCCCGGTTACGCATGCTGAGAGTGCTATCGGCTAGTGCAGGAGTCTTCATGGTAGTTGGCGCAGCCTTGGGCTGGTTAGTTACCGCAAGAGAAGCTGTTGAACTGATCTTTATATATAGGCACGTGAGCGAATGAAGCTGGAGGGAGAAAGCAGAGAAGCAAGAGCAGTTGACCCAATGAAACGAAAAAGGCTGGCCCTTTTCATGGCAGCACGAGCCGAGGTTTGTGTGGCCCAACGCAGTGGCGTCGCAGGGGTCTTCTCGGAATGCTGGCGGTGGTGGTATCGAGCAAGTAACAGTTTCAAGCCTATTCAGGCGGCTCTCGGGTCTTGGGATATCACCCTATCAGAGCTTACAGCCTACTTAGTATCGAAATGCGAAACCGCCTAATATGTATCGGGGTTCTGCCGGATGTTCCTCCGGGAGTTTTTCCGGATGTTCCCCCGGATGTTCCTCCAGGGGTTCCATCTTTTGCGCCTGCATCTCCCGCTACTGATTGGTAAGGGTCACCAGGTACGCATGTGGAAAACAGAGACACATGTGCGCACTGACTAGCGCCGCGCTATTTACGTGCGCCCTGATTCTCCAAGCATTATTCAATCCAATTGAATCCATCGTCTCGGGGCTGGAGCCGAGTGTGCATCCCCAGCAAAACCAGGCGCAATTTCTCGTGTCTCTACGGCCAGGTCTTTAGTACGAGACGGAGATCGCACGGCGACGAATATAAACTGACTTCTCTTGCATCTAATAGGGACATGGCACAGGCTCTAAGTTTGTGAAGTGATATATTGAAATGCTACCACTAGCCACCTAGGCATCAGTGGTAGGAAAGAAAACATCTGATCAAGAAAAGTTTGTCTGTGTGAATGGAAGAGTCAACATGGGCGGCTCAGACTTTCAAGGATACGCGTCACAAGTCTAGTCTGCCCTTCCTTTCCCCGCCTTAGACTTCCCACCTAGCCATGTACCATGCAATATCCTGGACTGCCCAATTGATTGTGCCCCGGCCTCGTTTGCTCGCACGGATATCCTTCTTTACCTCGATACACGCATGCTCAGTGGAACGGAGCAGTGCGTCTGGTCCAGAGCTGTAAACCCACGCTGTCCCTTCAGGCAGTTGATCCATGGGCTGAAGAGCTTGCTGGAGCGACTGAAATGCATTCAATCTTCCCTGTTCGGAGCTGATGTGTGCAGTCACAGTCATGTTCGGTAGAGTCTGTGACATATCTTGTAGCTCTCTCCATTCCCGGACCATCGCCATCTCCTGATGTCGCACTGTCCAAAGAAGGGTGAATTTGGAGGCATCATGTCGCGCTTCTAACCACCACCGGGCGAGACTGCAGGCGCCGGTTATTCCAGTTCCCCCTATGATGCATATGAGGTGAGAAGCAGAGCTGAAACCCGAATCGTTGACAGGGTACGGTCCTTCTAGCCGGACGTCCAGGCGCAGGCTACTCAAGGGGCTTGGGACCATAGAGGCCAGGACCCACGTCCATTCCTTGTCCAGTGTTTTCTGCTTCTTGCCCTTGGTGCGTTGTAGGAGGAAAACTGGACCGCTTACGGATGAGCTTGGTATAGCAGCGGTAAAAGCGTGGTTTTGGAGTTTGCTAACGCTGGGGAAGTTGAGATAGTAATAGCAGAGCGGCTGGGTAGAGGAAACTCGTTTTTCCGTTGACAGTTCTGTCGTTTTGGATGCTGGGAGAGAGATCCTGACCCAATCGTTGTCTGCGTTTTCGAGAGTGGCGAGGACCGTCCTGGAAAGCCCATTGGTTTCGCCAAAGAAAAACCGTCGGGCCAAGTCGATGAACCACAATAAAAGGCCTGGAATGAGAAGATACAAGTCGGTGCTTGCGTGTATGCAGGATCCCGCAAAAATGGCAGTGCCGAGGAAGACGTGGCTGTAGTAGAAGAGGTTGTAGTGGCGTCTGCGGATCCAGGGGATGGAGGTCAGGACAATCAGGAATATTGGAAGAAGCGCCCCAATCCCAGTGTAGGTGGTCATAGTAAACCACCTACTGCGTTGCTTGCTCTCTGTGAGCGTCATGGCCGGGTTGCCAGTAGCAAAAGCCTCTTCTTTCGCCTTGTCTCCCTCACTGCTGCCGTCTGCGGCGTACACCTTGTTTTGATTAGCGTCTACTTCCAAACCCTGTGCCTCTCTGTCAACACTTACAATATATGAGACTCCGTGTGCTGTCGCGCCGATTGCGAAGAGGTACGAGATCATCTTGTGGGCAAAGAGCAAAGAACTCTGATGAAGGGAAAAGGCGTGGCCAACGAGGCTGTTTCTGGACACTGGTATAATCAAAAGGCCGAGTAGAATATCGGCGTAGTGACCGGTCACGCCTGTGATTGTCAGAAGCAGCTTGGCTGACGACCAGTTCAGAGGGTCTGCCCTTAGACCCCAGAACTCATCATGGGCCGGCAGCCAGAGAGCAGTCGGGGCGCCCACAACAGCCAAGATCCAGACAAAAAACAAGAGACCGCCAAGAGTGATTCGCTTGCCTAATAGCGGCAGTTGATGGAAGAGGTGGAAGCCACTGAGGGATCGGACAGTTTGGTTATACTGGCGAAGAACAAAGAAGAAGGCAGTCAGTACGAGGAATCCATAGTATGTGATGAGATGCACTCGTGTTTCAAAAGGGAAGTATTCCTCGGAACAAAGTGTTGCGTAGCAAGGGAAAAAGGTAAGGACAATTGAGGCAGCAGCCGAGCTACTTAGAATGATTGATAGAGTGGCGATCTCTACCAAACGAGACATTCCTAGTGAAAGACGCAACATAACGTTCGTTGTGTTTGAAGTATGCGAGTGGTTGGGTTGGGAAGAGGTTGGCCAGTAAACACCTGACCTGGTCTAGAGTATATACAACGGACTTCATGACGAATGAAGAAGACCTAGATTATATATGTGGGATGAAATTCCCCCGAGACTGAATACTGCTTGCGTCATCTGAGCTTGTTGGTGGGTTTCCCATTGAGGCTGTGAAAAGGGGCGTTTAAGAACCTGGCACTTTTAAAAATAAGCATATCGTTGGGAACTTCCTAAACAGTAATAGGAGAGAGGCTGTAAATCCATCTGACCGTTAAATAACCTTTAACCTTAATTTCTAACTAGGCTTTCCGTTATTTATTTTAAAGGCTACATAGAGACTCCGTACCGCTCAGTGGCTCAGGACATTAATGTCAAAGTCCGTCGGACCGTTTAGGTCCACTACCTCATCTTCGGGGAAACCCTCAGGTGTCCCTATTCCGACAGGGCCAGCTGTGTACGATCTTACAGCATTTTATGCTAGCGTATTCACTAATTATTGTATTAATTGATCAGAAAACTAAGTTGTGGCCAGGTATATGTGAGATACCGAGGTGCCTCGGGTATCCCTTCCCTGATCAAGCGGGGCTGCTCTGCTGATCGTTGGGTCCGTACAGTATAGAAAGAAATTTTAGTCACATCAAGGATATCAAGGATGACGAATATACTTCGAGCTCGGTGTCGTAGACATCGCCAAGGACGTCTTCGCCTGACCAAAGCACCTCCAGGTACGCATGCATGCGGCCTCGGGGGTGGAGCTGCTACCCAGTCTTTACTACGGCAGCAATGGAGTGTTGATGGCGGTGGCCACGAGCATAGATTGCTGCCTAGATGTGAGCGCTTGAATGTGTGACGCGGCAGAGATGGGCCAACAAGTAATGAGAGATCTCACCTGTGTGAAGAGACATGATGGAGTTGCAGCCAACAAGCCAATGATATTGGGCGATGGAAAATGGGGAGTTGCTCCGGCCAAAGCACTGGAGGAATGTTGAGTTGTCCCGGGTTCATCGGAGGAACTTCAATTAGTCGGAGGCAGTGCCTCTCACATTGGGGCTCTTGGCGTTGAGCCTCGGTCTAGCATATGCTTCCCCACGTCGACATACATCCCCTGCTTGACCATTAATCTCAATGCTGAGAGACTCATATTCTAAAGGCGAGCTGTAATTCAGTCGTCATGTCCGGGCCCACAGGAGATTCGCGGTCGTCACGGGCTATAGGCGAAACAATGCCGGAACACATTATGCAGCCACAGTAGCCGACTTGGACGTAAATAGGGCACAGAAACTATTCCATGTCAATATTTTCGCCGTTATGCGGCTATGCCAGGTACTCTTGCCTATGTTGCGATAATCATCATCTGGTCGCATTGTGCAGATTAGGAACGTGGCTCGCGATAAACCCGTTACTTGGCAATGCATATACAATGCCTCGAGGGCGGCATTAAACCAGTACACAAAGACACTAAGACGTGTGGGTAGAAAGAGATTGCGATTTCGCTATTGTAATTATATCTATCGTGGAACCAGTGTGTGGTGTTATCCCTTGGTCAATTGCACATGGTGCAGGAGAATAGCACTACCCTGAATATGTGCTGCTCTGACTTGGCGAATGTCTTGCAAATTCCAATCGGCCGGGCCATATCTCCCGTGTCTCAAAATTACCATCAATTCGCTCAAACAGATATCACCACTCACAGTCGCTGTAACGCCGAAGCCCAATACTTCACCTCCGCCCCAGCCCTGGCAGATCGAATCTTGGTACCAATCCAACCTGGCGACGGCGCAGTCTCTATGTCAAACTTGACCTGGGTTGGCTTTTCTGAAAGCGCCTTGTTGGGCAAATCGGGATATTTGATAGCTGGGCGCCCAATACCGACCACGCTGCAGGCTCCGCTCTCAAGCGCTGCGTGGATTGCTGCTTGTGAACGAAAGCCACCAGTGAGAATCAGGATCAAGTCTGGAAACTTGGAACTGATGTCGCGACTTGCCTGTAGGAAGAAGGCATCTTGAGTGGCGCGCCCGGGTGTTTCCGTCGGCGAGATAGACTGGCTTGCGAAAAACATCTGCGATTACATGAAATGAGCTCTGGTCACACATAACAAAGGGCAGCCCTACCTTTGGGTCCTCAAAGTCGCCTCCACTGAGATTGATGTAGTCAATCTTCTCCCCCCTGATCAGATCTATCTGGCGGATCATATCGCTGTACTCTGTAGTATCCCTGACGGCTGCAGTGTTAATCTTGACTCCGACGCAGAACGTAGCGGGTACTTGATCACGGATTGCCCTGATGATTCGTAGAACAATTTCAGCGCGTTTTTCAGGCGAGCCTCCAAATTGATCCTGGCGCTTATTTGAAGATGAAGATAGGAATTGTGAAAGAAGGAACCCATCTGAGATTTGAGAAGATCAGTTGCGGGTTGCAGGGGAACAATTACGTGCTACTCACGCCCTGCATGGACTTCCACGCCCTGAAAGCCTGCACGAAATGCGATATTTGCTGCAGAAACAAAGCCAGCAATAACGTTGTCAATGTCGTCTTGAGTCATGGCACGTGGTGTACCAAAAACTACTGCAGATGCACAGCGAGCAATAAGGTTGTCGCCCAAGTTCAGCGGGATGGCGCTTGGGGCGATGTTCTTGGCGAAGAAGCTTTTCTTCCCGGCTCCGAGGGGTGATTGTCGTCCAGGGTGGCTCCTATGCGAGTTTATGAGCATCAACATCAAGCAAATCCAACGAAGCTGGAGTCTTACAACTGGACAATCATGTGGCAATTGTGTCCTTGAGCCGCCTGCGCCCAGGCAGACCACTTCTCCAAAGTCACAGCCATGTTGGTCTTAGAAAGCGCGACGTCACCGACCGTGCCGAGATATGCATCGTCAACACTTATGTTTCCTATCGGTCAAACGTTGAGTAAGAGATCCAGGACTTTGCTTTCGTTGTCGGGAGTCGCTCGTACCAGTGATCAGAGCCGCCCAACCGCCCTCTGCCCATGTCCGATACATCCTGAGATGGCTTGGCCCTGGCAAGTTGTCGATCGCCACTTTCTCGGAAATAGCTGATTTTACGAGCCTATTCTTGAGAACGAGGCCGCATGGAAGGCGCAATTGGGCCCCGGTGGGTGGTCCAGATGAAGCCATGATGTGGTTTCAGGTGTATTGATGGTATTAGGCTTGCAAGCTCGACGGAGTAAGGGATGGAAGATGTGAAGCACCGAGAGAAAGAAGGGTAAAGGGAGACATGATTCTATTTATGCGGCGAGTATCCTTTAGACGTTGCCTGAGCTATCACCAGGTAATGCGCAACAGCACCCTAACGAATTGTGTCGACCGAGATAAACCGCCGGAGGAACTTCCACCCCGGCCGCTGTGCAGACCCGACCCCAGCCTCAGCTCAGTGGCATTTGGTACAGTAGGGCAGTCTCATTCTGCGGTCATCTCCATCTGGGCCACCGAGCCTCGGCGATCGACCCCGCTATCTTGAGAACTAGTCTGGAAGTGCTAACCCGTTGAGGCGTGGTGAGATTGGTGCTCATAAATATCGTCGTGGGGTTTGGTTCACTCCCTGAACTCGAGATCAACTGTATATATTAAGATATCTACTAAATTATTTATAATAATATATAATATATAATATATAAATACTACTAGTAGATAGAGGAAATATTAATAATGACAATTGTATATATATATTTAAAAAGAAAGGACTTTATTTTATTTTATAAAATAAAATAAAAGCTATCTCATTAAAGTACTCAAGATCGGGGTTTTATTTCCCCCCGACAACTCCGTCCTGATGGTCGATTCATGCACAGCTCGATGACGTATCTGGATTTGCTTTTCATAGGGGGGGTGCATTCCTCGGCCCCTGAATTATTTGCTTGCTCTACCAACATTGTCCTCGTGCTGTGCAGAATCTCTTGTTTCTGACATACCCACTCGCTGTCCCAGTCTGGCTGTCGACCTCTTTGTTCCCAGCCCAACGAGATACTCGGACCAATCCTCCTCGCCCAGAGACTCCACCCGAGAGGACAGAGCTGTCAGTTTCAAATTCGAAGCCTCCACCCGATCGCGAACCTGCTGCATTCTCATTCTCATTCTCATTCTCAGCACCTTGCAATGTCTGCGGTCAAACCGGCGTTTTATAAAACTCCGCCAAACGCCGACGGAGTTCGATGGGCCCCAAGCGCCCCCCACTCCAGTAAACCAGCCCAATCAAATCGCGTCTGTGATCGATGTATTCAGTAAGTTCTAGCTTGTTTTAACTGGTTGTCTGAAACAAGTCTGACTTTGATGTAGGAAAAAGGTCAAGTGTAAGTATCTGAACCCGCCGGAGCCTACTCATGCCTTTGCTAACCGCGGCTGGTGAACCGCAAGGCGACTTGGTATACCCTAGCTGCTCAAGCTGTAGAGATGCTAGGGAGGGTTGTATCTATTCGCGAGTGCGTAAGAGGCCAGGGCCTAGCAAAGGCTCACGCAGGGGTACAAAGAGGCCTCGAGAGGGGGATCAGTCCCCTGAAAATGGTGAGTCGACAATTTGATTGGTGGACGACAAGTCTTGGTTTCTCAACTCTCGATACAGATTGCACAACAGGCCAATCCGTCAGCCACACAATTTCGTCTTTACCGCCGGTGGTTGATATACCGTCTAGCTGCTCTCGGCAGATCATGCCTATCACGTCGCAGCTTACACTCGACGACATAGAAACTCTGACCCTGTACTGCTCGCTTCTTCTCCCGACCCAAGCCTTTGAATTGTGAGTTTTTTCTTTCTTTCTTTTTTTTTTTCTTTTTTCGCTTTTTCTTTTTAGAGAGGCAGGGTTATAGGCATAGTATACTTACATCAAATCAGAGGCCAGCGGTTTGGCTGGACCATAAACACCGTCTTTCCACTGTTTCGGCAAGGAGCGCTCTTGGAACAGCTGCAAGACGGCACCATATGCGGTGCTCTACCGCCCGTCATATATGCGCTATCGGCGAAAGGCACCGAGACAGACTTTCTGTCCGCCAACGTGGACGTGCATGCGGCGCTGGTAAGCTTGGCCGAGTCAGCCAAGATCGAAGCCGAGAGCGTCACGGAGCCGCTCGCCCTCAACCAATGGCGCATGGCGTGTTTACTTGCGTGGTACTGCTTCCACCAGACGCCTGGAAACAGTGAAGCGATCCGCATCACCGTGCTGACCCAGAAGGCATATCAGTGCGGGCTGCACCAGATCGACAGTGTCGAGAACCAGGCGTCGTTCGGCTGGGACAAGATGAGCGATGCATTGCTGGAAGATTGGCGCCATGTTTGGTGGACTGTTTATACCCTGGACTGCTGCGCCAGCTTTTCGACGGCAACACCACATCAGATCGAGACGGAGAGCATAAGAACAGCCCTCGTACAGAATAAGCCGCAACTCGATATTAACCGCAGCACCCCATCGGAGAAGCTCTTCCTACCGCCAGACCGGGCCGATTTGTGGAAACTTGCCCAGGACATCTCGAATTCAGGCGGCGATAACGCTGCTAGCCTCCATCTGGTCATCAGCATCTTGCTGAAAGAAGTCGTTACCACGTACCGCCGGCGTTGCCAAAACCCGTCTCCTTCTTCAGAACAAAGCATGTCGGCACTGGAAGACTATTTGAGTGCCGTACAGCTGGCTCTGCCGTCTAACTATATGCGGCAGACGCGCGACATACTCCGCGGAGAGACAGATAACAACTGCCACTGGCGGCTGCTGACCTTGCTAAAGATTCATAGCGCGCGTCTGCTTATGCGCCTTCCTTGCCGTTCTCGTTCTCTCGATACGCCTGACTGGGATATTCGATGGGAAGAAAACCTCGAGATTTGCTACCGCATGGTCGAGGTCATCCAGCAGTGGCACGTGCCGGATCCTCCAGCCATCGACCCGGCCATGTGCTTCATGTGTCTCTCATTGCTGATGCTGTTGCATCTGCATAGCCTGTCGAGCGCTGAGTCTAATCCGCGACTGCATGAACCTGTCGCGAGGCGGAAAAACATCGTCAGGCTGTTCCTGCATAACTATGCAACGCACTGGACTCTGCCTCGATTTCTTTTAGGTATGAGCACATTTCTGGGCAAAGCAGACGTCGACTTGCTGACCATATAATTGATAGACTGTTACGATGCGTTGATCCGCAAACTCATCGGGCCACTACAACCGAAAGATATAGAACGAATCTTGGATCATTTCAACGGTCCACTGCACCAAAAGTGGCTGAGTTTTCTTTCTCTATTGCCTCCGAGATATGCCAGCACTCGCTCCAGCAAATTGAGTGATCCAAATGGCCCCCAGTCTCCCATGGTTGCAGGTACGGGTGAGGCATGCTCACAAACTTATGGAACTGATTTTGGGTGCAATTTCGACTTGGGGAACGTTTTTGAGTTTGGGAATGCGTTTGATTTCGAACATGGTTTTGAATTCTAGGACAACTTCACTCAATCACCTTCGCTCCACAATGAATTGTAGCATAGTTGTGACAAGGCTAGGCTTAAAGAATAGCTGTTTAGGACAACATTTGGAGTCTTCAAAAGTTCGCCATGTCACAATTGTGGCACAACAGTGACATAATTGCACAAACGACAATGGTACATTCTTCTATATGCGGCTACAACTGACAAACTCCCAATCATATCGGCTCAGCCATGATATCGTAGACGGTATCCTTTTGGTTCATACCAACCCCCCACTTCTGCAGGCCCACCATCTTGTACAGCGAGAACAAGCCCCAAAAGGTAAATTCCTTGACTTTGAGCGCGATGGGCCCAGTGTCCTTTCGAATCTCTCCATTGGAAGCCGACGCGTTTGCGATGGCCTCGACTCGAGGCCGGCGGATGGCTTGATACTTCTCAAACACTTCTGCTAGGGGTCGGCTGGGCTGTTCCAGCAGCCGCGAAAGCAGGAATACGTCCTCCAGGGCCATAGAAGTTCCCTGGCCAGCGTGAGGTTGCATCGCGTGGGCTGCGTCACCCAAGATCAGACAGCGCTTGGTGAACCACTGGACTTTCGAGGGCATTTTGTACAGCGGGTAGAACTTGATAGTGTCTGTCTTTTGCACCATTTCCCGCAGCTGGTCCGACCAGTGGCCGGTTGCGTCAGCAAACACACTTTCCAGGTTTTCCTTGAAGCCTTCGACCTCCTGCTTGTTGTAGGTCTCCCACCCTTCCCTGCTGTCGCCGCCTGGGAGAGGGACTTGTCGAGAGTAGAACCAATACAGATGACTTCCGGACGCGGTACAAGGCATGACGCCGAACAGACCTTGCTTGGTCAGAGTGGCGTGCAGAGCTGGGGCCAGCTCGCGGTTTACCTCTGAGAGTTCAGATACTGGCAAGATGGTGAACATGTTGGCGATGCCGGTGTACTCTGGGGCAGCCTCCGGGCTGACGTGCAACCTGCGAACAGCTGAGTGAATGCCATCACAGCCCAGAAGCAAGTCAGCTGTGTCGGTGGTTCCGTCGGCAAAGGTGACGGTAGCTTGACTCTCGGTTTCGACGATATTAGTCACGGATTTGCCAAAGATGACGGGGACATTCTGTTTCGCTGTTTCTTCAAGCAGCACGTCAATCAGGTCTCTTCTTAACACACGCATGAAGCCGAAGCCGACTTGGCCGCGACTCCATCCCGCAAGATCGAGATCCGCGAGGATTGCGCCCTGGCGAGAATGAACGATGAGCTGCGAAGCAGAAGACGCAAGAGAGACGAGCTTGTCATAGAGGCCCAGACGGTCAAAAAGGCGAAGACCATTGGACGGTATGTTGACGGCACCGCCCAAGGTGGTTGGTTCTGATCGAATCTCATATACCACTGTGTCAATGTCATTGTGCGTCTTCAAACGGATCGCTGCAGCTAGACCGGCTGGTCCTCCACCGATGATGATAGCCTATTAAATGCCGCGTAAGAATTTGTACGGAGTGGAGGAGAATCATACACTTTACCCTTTTGATTGGCGCCATCACTGCTCTGCCGTATGCGTGCTTTGTAGCTAGTGGTATATCGACTCGGGTACGGAAGAAAGATCGTATCCTCGGACAGGTGAATCAGAATGAAGATTATAATAGTCTATAGAGCAGTGGGCTTTGACCCTCCAATATCCGTTGACGCTACCAAGTCATGCTGGAACATTTCCGTTTTGGGAAATGCGCTAGCAAGCATTAACGGGGCCATCCTCCAATATCCGGGGTTGCAGTGGCCACGGGATAATCTCTTTAAGCCACGGGGCAAAAAGCCCGACTTATTTACGCCGTGGCTTGAAGAAATTACCCCGTGGCCCGACTCGTAGCCCAATGTTTGTTGAAGCTACCAACTGCCGGAACATTTCCGTTCGGGGAAATGTGCTAGTTCGGCAGTGGCTGGTTTCCATTTCGAAGACTGCCGTCGGGGCTTTCGTTCGGACGGCCGACTACAATGGCTCTCTCATCAATGAAAAGGAAATTCATGCGATACATCACTCCAAATTCGTCATTATGGACCTTATGTGAAAGGAGTTGACAGACTATCGCTCCATGGGGTAATGTCCCCGGAAAGTTGGCATTGCTCGGACTACATTGACCAGCGGGGATACTGACTTCCTGATATATATAGACACATAGAGCTTTAGTTCCACCCGAAAGCCACTATCAGCAAAGGTTGTAATCAATTAACTATGGCAAACACTGGAATCTTCATCGACGTCGCGGGACTCACCTTCCAGAGTGGCTCCACAACAAGCGTCACCTCTGCCGAGTTTCACTACTCCTACGAGTCTGGAGCGGAAATCGTCTTCTCTATCGGCAGCCTGATCCTCGGTAAAAGCACCGGCAAGGTTGTCACCACGGCTTTGGACTTGGTACCTGCCGATACGGCTGCGTTTCATCCTAGTCTGGTTAACCGAGCCAGATTGCTTTTCAGCCTGAGCTCGGGCCAGGGATTCGAGAAGCCCATCATCATAGATCAGACGGTGAGAAGACACCCTTAACTATACCGATCCTGTTCCTGAACCCCGGTTTCTTATCTATTCATAACTGGGCATCTAATTTCTTCGAAATAGGTGGAAGCCGTCGTTAGTAAATACGCATCTGAGATTGACCTCGATTCTGAACGGCTTTCGGACCTGGACGAGCCCCTCAGTAAGATCTGCTCCGAGCTCAACTTGCGACCTAAGTCTGTCCCGCATACACGGAACCATTTGCGTCGTCTCTATGCGGGCTTCAAAGTCCTCCGTGATCTTGTGATCCCTACGCCTGATGAAGGCTCGGTCTTAGCCGACGTCTATCTGCCTCTGCAGCCTAACAAGAAGTTCCCAGTTCTCCTTGGCTGCACGCTCTATGGCCGACGCGTACCATGGGGTGGACCAGATATCAACGATCAGGATGATATTCTGCGATTCGAGCGCGCAGAAGACGAGTGGCACTCAACTGCAGCTGGGAACGAACTCAACCTCTTCGATCTAGGTCCATGGTCACAGTTCTTCACCACACAACGGGGCTTTGAGAATATTGCCACCTTTAACACCTTCAGCTACGTCCCATACGGCTATGCAATGGTCAGGATCGACCCCAGGGGCGTCTCGCAGACCCCGGGTAAGCGATGGGTCCCTGGACAACTCGCTGGCGACTTTTATGCCGCTGTTGAATGGTGCGCCGAGCAACCCTGGAGCAATGGAACTTCCGCTCTCGTAGGAAGTTCATACGGAGCAAACACGCAATGGGCGACAGCTGAATTACAACCCAAGGGTTTGAAGTGCATTGTACCATATGGCAGTGAGTATCTTTTTTCCCCTGCACCCTGTCAGTTAAAGTATCACAAAAGGCTAGTTAGGCTGATGTCTTCCTGCAGCCGACATTGACTCATACCGTGAGGCTGCCTACATCGGTGGCATTCCTTCTACTCGCTATCTCCAAAACTGGTTCGCCCGAGTTCGTGGTGTATCACCAAAATGGGATGATCAGATGGACGTCGAGCAGATGATGAAAAGCAATCCAACATACAATGCAATGTGGGCTATGCTAGACTCTAAGCCCGATAGATCTGTCAACATTCCCTGCTTCGTAGCTGCGTCGCAGATCTTCATGATCCACGGGCGTGGTGCGTACGAGGCATGGATGGTTCGCCAGCCTGATAACACGCATCTTCAACTGGTCGACTCCAACTACTACTCGTGGGGGAGCCGAGAGGCGTCTGTCAAGATCATCCAGTTCCTCAATCACCACTTGAAGTCGAAAGAATGTGCTGCCCCAGAACCAGTTGGAATCCAGATGAGGTTAGGCAACCAAGATTGGTACTGGAGAAAGGAACAGAACTGGCCTGTCCCAGGAACACAGTATAGGAAGTGGCATCTCACCACAGCCAAAGAACTGAGTGAAACGCCACCAGTGAATACGACAGAGACTCGATTAGAATACCCGTCACGATGTCCTCAACAGGGGAAATCGGGTGTCAGCTTCCACTCGGCTCCGTTTCAAGAAGACGTCGAGTTTGCTGGTCACTTCGTTGCTGTGCTGAGCGTTTGCTCAACGGCCCCTGACGCAGATGTCGCCGTACTTCTCTGGGCCGTCGACGAGTCAGGCCAAGTCGTCGCTTATGGTGCCAGCAGCTCGGCGCCAGAGCCCCTGGCCAAGGGTTTCCTTCGTGTCAGTCACCGAAAGACGGACCCTGTAAAGTCTCTGCCATGGCGGCCGTGGCACACGCACACTGCCGAAGATCTGGCGCCACTTCAAGGCATCGACGACGTGGTCCAGGTGGATGTGGAGATCCTACCTACCGCGGCGCGGATCCGGAAAGGCTGGACACTGCGCGTGGATATTTGTCCATCGGAAGAGCAACCAGATATTCCTGGTTATGAAGGGCCCCAGATGCGGCTTTGGTATGGTGAGACGTGCGAGGGGGAGGCCACTGACGCCATTCATGTGGGAGGAAGCAGGGTTAACTATATCCAGTGTCCTGTTGTGCCTAAGATGGAGGGTTTTAGCAAGTGTATGATTTGACAGCGTTTTATGTCTTATCACCGCAGTTGAGCTATACGTTGTTCGGTTCACCTGACAGCAATATACTATCTCCCCTTCAAAACTTTTCAAACTTGATGGATCTATTCTCGTTATCAGCCACAGTTTCGAACTTCAGAGACCGTGTCTCGAGGTTTAGAGGTGAAAAACATTTCTGGTTTTAAACTAATCTTTGCAGGATACCTATAGTCAGACCCATCGTCAGTTACCGGCTAGACAAAGTGAATGTCATATCTATACTCAATAGGACACTAGACCTGCAATTTCATCACTCAAATTTGGCATCTACATGTATGCAGTCGGCTCTCTTTCAACACCGTAGCGAAGCCGACCCGATCTCCCACCCGCACTTGTAACTCACAAAGGATATTCGTAGCGGCTGCAGAATATTATGGTAAGAGAATGGAAATCGTACTGCTGTTGCTAGACTGTGGATATCGTACAGCTATCACCAAAGAAGTCTTCCCCATTACATCTTTCGTGGTCTCTGGCTGAGGGGGAAAATTAAACTGTCTCGAGTTGAATTTGTACTACGTTCGCCCATCGTCCAGGCCTTGCTTAATATCTTCTGGCGTGGCGGCTCTTCGCTCGGATCTTTTTTCCGTATATGAGGAAAATATATGGTAACGGCATCAAGGCAAGAGTGAGAAAGGCTATCAAAGATGAAGCCCATTGGTAACCCATTTTCGTGTACATTTGATTTCCGAATAGAGGCAGGCCAGCTGGAATCGATAGTTAGTAACAAGTAAACTGAGTGTAAGCGTAGAACGGAAGCCTGAAACCCCTCGTAGAATATGATCGTACCAGCAAAAAGGTTACGCACAAATGAGTTGGCTGCAAGAGTACTCGCTGCATAGACAGGATAAGCTTCAACCTGCGCATAATCTCGTCAGAACACCAGGACACGTATTGCAAGAACTTCAGTGTACTCACAAGAAATGTAAATATTCCAGTCAATATCAGCGCATTACTTCTCTTATTAGTAATAATCACCTGCTCCATAAATTTTAAAGCACTTACCCAGCCCCAAATATCGCAGACCCGATAATAGGCACGATCCAGTGTATCCATGGGCGTGAAGTCCACGCAAACATGAAGAGTCCAATTGGCACCAGTAGCGACCCAAGAATTGCTGGTGGAAGCCTGAACTCAGGCTCGCTAATATTCTCGACGCCGGTCTCTCGGTCGTGCTTCTCTATGAGATAGACGCGGATTCTGCGCCAGATAGGGTCCGTTGCTACGCCGAACAGCATGGAGATCATAATACCGATAAACGCAAGGCCTGATTGCCATTGGTTGAAGCCATATGTCGTTCCAAATATAAGCGGAAAGGTACCAAAGAAAAGATACAGGATGCCGAGAAGGAGAGCCGAGAAGAGACTCAGAGTGAGGCACATAGGCTCGAACGCAAGCAGTTGAAAGGGCCGTGCTGAAGACATAGCGATAGCTCGCAAGACTGATCTTTTGACCTTTTCTATCGGGGCAAAGAATCTGTCGTCGTTCCTCTCTTTCCTCAGCCTGCGGGCTTTTTGTTTAAGTAGGATGGGATCTGACAGTCTAAGGTTAGGGCACTGGTAAGAAGAGGGCAATGCAGGGAGTATTTACGATAGGTTTCTAGGACAAGAAAGAAAATACACCACCACAGAGCAAACACCCAAATAATCAGGACATAGTATATCCATCTCCAGTCGACATTATAGTTAATGAAGCCTCCGATAAGAGGTCCCAAACTCAGGCCCAGAAACGGAGCGATAGAGAATAGAGCCATGGGAGCTTAGAGCTCATCTTTGGTGAAGAGATCCCCAATTAAACCCCCCGGCACAGTAAAAAATGTACTACCAGAGAAGCCAGACAAGAAGCGGAAGACGAGGGAGATGGCAATGTGATTCGAGGCCGCTTGTGGGATCTGCCAGAGGAGATAGGCTGTCCAGGACAACAGGTACAGTGGTCGACGTCCATAGAACTCGCTAAGGGGCCCCAGAAACATGGGACCGATGCCAATACCTAGCACATAGGCCGAGAGACCTAGGACAGAAAACACTCGCCTGTTATGGAATTCCGCTTCCATTTGTTAATAACTTGCTGTATAGATAGAACTAGCACAAGCGCTAGACGCAGAAGCTAATTATTAGCGGCACGGCTGGCTTTCCTAAGATATACCCCAAATACTAACACACATAGGCTTGCAAATGAGATAATGGCGACGATTATCCATTTCCTTGGTTAACTGATGTTATGCAGACAAAGGGGATCGGCGCCATCGTTATCCCAAGCGACTTCGAATATGTCAATTTCCTGGGTCGAGTCACTTGTAATTGCATCAGGCTGGCCTTCCTGCACGTTAGGGCCATATTGATCCGGAATGGCGTCAGCTATGCTAGAACTAGAGTTTCTCGCCAGCTGGACAAGACTCTTGTTTTTCGACTCTAGACTCGTACTACTAGGGCCATCGATAGTCCTGCCGCCAGGTGGCGAATCGGGCATCTTTTCAGCAAATTGGTCCATTGATTCAAACTTGAGGGGAAAAAAGTTCAATATTTTGTTCAGCAACGGCGCAAACTTTTATTACTGTATAGATTGTCATAAACAAGCGAAAAGGACAGCGAGCCATCTAGAAAGGACTGGATAGATAAATGTACTAAAAAAGTAACCCTAAATCTACAAAACTTAGCGCGGCCATACCCAGCTTAGAAATATTCCAGACCAACCTAAAGCGTTTACGTGGGGCAGAGAGGAGTTTGGACTCGGCACTTTCGTGACCAACATATCCAAGATCTATTGTGGGCCCTGGTGACTCGTTCCCAGCTTATTTTGATTCTTTATGTTTTCTAGAATATTTTGGCGCCCTGTCTGAGTATTGTTAAACCAACTAGGTAGTAAATTGACTGTATATTGATTGATCTGTCTGAATTCTGCGGTAATTTCAGGAAATGCAATGCCCTTTTCCTATTTAAGTTGTAGCTAGTCAGGTGACTTGGTCATTTTGGAAACGAGGTGCCTTTGTTCAAAACGCCCTGCAAATATCATTGCTGCGGTTTAACAAGTATAGACTTCTTAAGGAGCGCCATTAAAGCATTATAAGATGCTCTATAAGACCTAATTATCTGCTGCAATAATATTAGTCTAATTTGCTGGATTGTTAACTTATTTTACACTAAAGCCTCTTTAATATCATATTTAGAAATAGGGGCCCTTAGTAATGCGAACCCGGAGGGGGACCTAAAGGTTTATATAATCGGGCTCTATACTGGCCTTATGAGTCTAGGATAGGGTAATCCTATTAGGTCTAACTATTTTAATTATGTTATTAGGCCTTTTAAATATCTTTTAATTATATATACTTATTTATTTTTATTAGTTAGGGTTAAGAAAGATAACTTTTGTATCCTAGTGCTTTATATTAAAATTAATTCTATAACGTAGTTAATAAGCGAGTTAGCCAGTATACTGTGCCGCTAAAAATAGCCTACCCTATAGTATTTTAATTCTTAAATAAATTAAATAAAAATTAAATAAGGCTTTTTCCAAAAATAGTATAGTTAATGTTATTAAGAAGTATTTTTAAAAGATTTTTAAAAATTTTAGTTTATATAGAAAACTATAAAATACAGTGTATTTTACAGTGTAAATAGACTTTAAAGTTTATAGCTATATAGGATTTGTCTAAAAGTCTAAGAAAATTAATATAGCTTATTTTAGGAATTATATATAAGTTATTTAATTATTAGCTATTTTAAGCTTAATTTAAATTTTTAACAACAATTTAAAATATAGGTTTTAAGGTAAAAAGTATACTGGCTAACTTGCTTATCTGGCTAACTCGCTTATTAACTACGTTATAGAATTTTTTATTTTATATTAAATAACTTAAAGGAGAATTAGTTTTTATAAGAGAGCAAAATTTAATTTTTAAACCTACCTAACAGGAAGTAAGCTTAAATTACACAAGGGTAACGTGTTTCATAAGCAAGCGACGCAGTCAAGCAAGCGACGCACTGCACTATATAGCTAAAAATAGCTTACCCTATCGTAATTTACACCTTAGATAAAACAGCTAAAAATATAAAAAAAGTATTTTAAATAATAGTATAATAATAGCTATATTATATATTTTTCCTAGATTTTTGAAAAAATCCCTTTATAAAGAAATACTTAATTATACAGTGTATCTAACAGTGTAAATAGATTTTAAAGTTTATAGCTATATAGGATTTTCTTAGATTTTTTAAGAAGAGAAGCTAGCTTATTTTAAGAGGTATATATATGCTATTAAGATTATAGCTATTTTAGGCTTAGTTTGGATTTTTAAAGAGTTTTTTAAAAACCGGATTTAAGGTGTATAGGGTAGTGCATCGCTTACTTGACTGCGTCGCTCGCTTATCAAACACGTTAAGCTTTATTTAACATATATGATAAGCAAGTAAGCCAGACAAGCGAGTGAGCCACATATCTTAACCTTCTAAATGAAATTCGCAATAAAAACACCACAACCTATCTAATCAATTAAAATTAATCGCTATACTATTCCCTATTAACTTCAATTGCCTCCTGACAGGTCCTTGCATTATGCCCGGTCTTTCTGCAAATACTACACTGCCGGACCTTTGCTCCTTGTGACCTTCCGCGACCACCTCTCGAGGATTTAGCTATTACCTGCGTATTAATATCTATCTGATTAATTGCTTGTAATGCTTCCCCTATAGTTAAAGGCCCTTCTTTTTATACCCTAGTCCTTTTTCCCCTCTAGCGTTGCCTTACTATCTTATTTTGCTGTTTAAGTTGTTAATTCCTATTATGTAGTAAGACCATCTTATCTATAAGAGCAGTTATTGCCTTCTTAAAATGCTTTACGGCTTTAATTATTAACTTAGGGGAGCTGCTTTTATGATTTCTAATCCTTCCTTATAGATACTTAGAGTATAATTAGGCCTCTAGTACTGTCTTTGGGGTCCTTGCAGTCTAAGGGGTTAATAGTATTGCGACTTCTATAAGAGGCATCGGAGTCCGTAGCTATATATTAAGCTTTAAGATAATATTTTCTAGGTTAAAGGGAGCAAGTCTAGCTCCTCTAAAACCTCCTTTAATATTGCTTTTTATAATAATAGCTTAGTAAGCAGTATAAAAGGCAGGAAAGAACTTAGTCTTAGTAATATAGGTTATAAAGTATCTAATTAGATACTTTATTTCTTAACTATATGCCTTTTTTAGCAGCCTAAAGCACCCTATATTAAGAGGCTAAAGTAAATAAGAGGCATAAGCAGGTATATAAAGCATTATAATCTTATTCTCCTTATAATATTCCTTAAATTTAACAAAGTAGTAACTTTCATAACTATTAAGGATTAAGAGGCAATAGCGACTGTTCGTTTACTTAGCTATAGCCTAATTAAAATACTTTAGCTACTTAAGGCCTAGCTTATTATTAGTCTATCCTTTCTTACTTAATATAATAACCTAATTGCCAGGAAGGTCGCATTCTTAGTACTAATTAGCAAGGTAATCCTTACCTATACTAATAATAAATAGCAGGATTAATTAGCCTTCTATATTAATCCCCTTAATTATAGTAATCTATTTACGGTTTTTAGGTTATACTTGCTTTAATCTTCCTTACCTATAGGAGCTTATAATAACTATTTTAGGCTTAATTATACCTATTATAAAGCCAGTCTTATTAAAGTTCTAAATATTATCTAATTAGATATTATATTTTATAATTATATTCTTTATAAGCTAAAACTAGCTATAAATAATAATTAAATCTTTATATTTAACTCTCTAATAGTTATATCTTTAAAATTAATATATCTTTAGCTTTAGTTATTACTTAATAAAGTTATAAGCCTAGCACTTACTAATAAGTAATATATTATAGTTAGTATATAGAGAATTTATAATATCTTCTATATATAATAATTATAAGGGAAATCCTTATAAATCTAAGTCTAAAATAAATTAGACTATTATCTACTCTTCCTAATTAAATAGTTTCTATAACTTTATAGGAGTATTATACTTTAAAAGAATGCCATACTGGCAGCGACCTAAGGTACTATAGTTAATATTATAGATATTTGCTGCCTGTCAGACTGTAAGTTTAGGGTTATCTTAAAGGGCCTAAAGGGCAAGAAGGATTCTAGCTTTATTTAAGGACTATAGCATATTTATTAATTAAGATATAGCTAATTAAATTATAATATTATAAGGTAAGGGATTTTTATCTTACTTACTTGTCTGGCTTACTTGCTTATTATATATATTATTAATAATATTTTTTATAATTTATTATTATAAAAAAGTTAACATATATGATAAGCAAGTGGGCCAGACAAGCGAGTGGGCCAAAAATCCCTTACCTTCCATCTTCTCTACTTTATCAGTTAGTTCTCAACAATCAGATATATTATAACCAAACTATAAGGCTAATCTTAATCTTGTACTTTAGGCCCTTTAAGATAATCTAAAACTAAGTATCCAATACGCCGCAGAAATCTACATAGTTAATCGTAATACCTTACATCGCCGCTAGCAAGGGGTTCAATCTCGATGCAATACTATATCTAACTTACAGAAGCTATCTAAACTAGAAGAAGATACTCTTCTTAAGTTTATTATTAACCTAGATTCGCAAGGATATCCCCTGCAACTATATAGTATTAAAGAAATAGCTAATTAACTGCTTAATAACCACAACGCGCCACACATCAGCGCGCGCTAGGCTATGAATTTCATTAAGCAATAACCACTACTTAGGATATGTTTTTAGTAGAAATATAACTATTAAAGGGCTAAATATAAAGATCTAACTATTATTTATAACTAGTTTAGGCTTATATAAAACATAATTGCAAAGTATAGTATTTACTTAAATAATATCTAGAACTTTAATAAGACTGGCTTTATAATAGGCGTTTTCTTAACTAGTATAGTTATTATATATATAGAGAGGCATAGACGGCCTAAAAAATTATAGCCTAGAAACCGAGAATGGGTTATAGTAATCCAAGTAATTAATATAGCAGGCTAGGCGATTGAGCCGTTTATTGTAGTTGCAGGCCAAAATTACCTTTAGAATTAGTATTAAGAATACAACATTTGTTACGACCCGCGCGGTTACGTTACGTGTACCCTACATTTTCTAACCAACTAATAACAGGCTTACGCATACCTAAGTGAACCTGTAAGGCTTACTCCTCCTAACGTGAGACTTACCCTGTAATTTACCTAAGATATCGTAAGCCTCTTGCCTAGGCTTACTTATATTACGGCAATACCCTTAGTATATAGACTACATTTATTAGCACTTTTATAAAACTTAGCTTACTAGCTATTAATAAGACTTCTTTATATTAATAAGCCTAATATGTATTACTTAATTATTAAGAGATATAATACCTTATACTGCTTAGCATTATGCCTTATATTATTTGCTAATATAAACCTAAAATGGACTAGTTTATCCCTTAGAAATTATAACTATTATA